TTTTTATACACCCTGTATGTACATGTAAATATGGGAAGTTGCTATTTTTACTAAATGTGCCAAGGTTTTTTTGACCAGAATGTGGTTTGCATTTGTTCTTGCCGATTACTGGCATGTCGAGGTGCACTGGACATGATATACATTTCTGGCACAACTTGCATGCAGCACACAACACAGATCCAGAGTATTTCATATCATCAACCATGATTTGGTCATAGCAATTGTAACTAAATGGAGACCAGGTCTAGAAAATAGATTTCCCTTCCAGGGAGCAAAATCCAAAAATATAAGAATTTTCAGTGTAAGCTCTCTCCCTTCGCAGAGGCTTTTGATGTAAAAAATCTGAGGAAGTCGATTTTTCTAATTTTCTCGTACGTACGCCCACAAACACACTCCTCCTCAGCATTAAAATAAGGAAAATCACGTATGGTGGCACACATTGTGATCTCAGCACAAGACAATCTCGACCTGAAAACGTTTCTGTAAACAATAAGTAACTTATTAAAGGAATACCGAATGGTTTTCCGTGCAGGATTGCGTGATCCATGCACGAGGGATGTCGCGAGACTTTCGGAAAGCGTAAAAATACTCGAACCGCAGGCGAGTGTATTTTTACGCTTTCCGAAAGTCGAGCAACATCCCAAGCAACCTCGTACCCAGGGCTAGTCGCGAATTGAAGGCGGCGACATAGCCCTGGTAAACGCTGGTCACGTGACTCCAACATTACGTAATTGTTACTTTTTTCAACCGCGGGGTGAATAGGTGGGATTTTACTACATCCCGGGCGTTCTTTGTCAGTGCCCGCGATCACAACTAGTATTATCAGCGGTACATGATGATAACATTGAGTGTTTCCTGAAATCATAATGTTTGAAAGAAAACATCTTAAAAGCCAAATATAAATTATATAATACTCGATGTGAATTTATAACTTGGTTAAACTGTAACAGTTTGTCAGCATGTTAATCTATATTTCAAGATATCAGTTTGCTTCTAGTCAGTTTATTTGATCCAGACATATTGCCTTTTTATTTTTTGACAAAACTTACATACTGTTTATGTTTTACCACTAATTTCACAGATCTTATATGAGCTAGTAACATTTATAGCAGCTCAAATAAAAAATAACCAAGTGACTAGACAGACAGGAGTTATTTCGTATATTGTAGCAATATAAAAACTTTTGTTTGCGGTAATCTTCACCAAGTTTGTCGTTAGCTCAAGCGGTAAAGGCGCTGCGTGCTAAAAGTGAAACGCGGTCAGGGTCGGGATTGATGCCGAACGCCCATCATCTGATTTAGCTCTTTTTCTCAATTTTTTTGTGATTTCTTTTTTCTTCCTTCCTTTTTTAACTCTTAAAAGTTAGGCCGGTTAGTGTTTGGGATCGGTATAAAATCTAAAGTGCTTTAAAAAAGTTTTAATAATCTGTTTTTATCTAGTTGAAAATGTAGCTTGAAAATGTTTGAATATTGAGTTGCGAACTCAACCGCTGATAATTCTAATTGTGATCGCGGGCACTGACAAAGAACGCCCGGGATGTAGTAAAATCCGAATAGGTGAAATTCGAAGACAAACAGTTTTTATCTCCGAAATTCTTCAATCTTCTTTGTGAATTTTGCACTTGAAGGCTGAAGCTTCTCTCAAAGTACGGCGATCGATCAAATGGATCAATACTTTCTGTAGAAAAAACTCAGTGAGATTTGTTCGTATGAAACGTTTAAAAGACACGGATATGTCACCAAAGACGCTCGATCATTGCACAGGTTTATGGAATAGTACTTTGTTCAGTTTGTTGCGAATTGCGAAGCAAATGAATGCAAATTCAACTCTTGTATAATGACTAAAAGTTGGTTTGTAGAGGGACAACATATACAAAAGATATGAATACGTTAGCTTCAAACTAGGGACAAGTTCATGGACAAATGACAATGGACATCCCTAATATATGGACATTGATATTTCACCAATATGTAAATATGACTATTAAATATATAAAAGGATTGCTGTTGTATTACTTGTATATGTATATGTACAAGTGTTGTGCTGTGGTATCTATGGACTAGAATTTCTGAGGGGGTTGAAAAAGCCGTTTCTGAGGGGTTGTGTGCATCGGCATCCTTTGATCTTTGCACTTTTTCTGAGGGATAAGGCAAAAATTTTTTTGGGGGGGGTTTCAGCACTTTGATCTTTTTTTCTTAGGGGTTCAAATTTTATTGAACTCGTCCATAGGGGGGTGTATACATTAAATGGAATGGCCCAATGCATCCAGATGTGCCCTACTTTGTTAGTTTACTCTGTCTAACACCAGACAATTTTACTTGTCAGGGGACAGTGCATGGCGCCACTCAATGGGTTAACATAGTCGATGAACATGCCAAATGATCCTTGACCGTGGTAGTACATTTTTGCACTTGCTGGATGATATCCCAACCAAGCATTGTTTCAGAGGAAGAGCACTGAGATCATGCTGTGTAGCAATTGGAATCTTGCATAGAGCCTGCTCTCACATAAAGCAGGCAAGACCTTCACTCAGAAGCCAGTCCTGATTAATATTAATTCCCCACATAAACACTTGGAAACCAGACTGTCCCATCTGCCCATATGCAGGACAAAAAAACATGCAGCTTGGACTTTAACTGTTAAACAACCAAATCAGCATGATAAACAGTGTGATGATTTTTGCTTAGCCCAAACCAAAGCCAGTTTTCTAGAATTAATTTGCAGATTCCTAAGAATTGGACCTCCAACTTGAAGAGCTAGCTGTGCTAACCAAATTGCACGGGCAACCCTGAATTGACACGACTAGAGCAAATCTTCAAAAAATAATAGAGAGATCAGATTTGACTTCCACTGCTGCTATTGCTACCATTAACTAACCAGATAAATTTCATTTATCCAATCAAACAATCAGATGCAACTGCCAAATCAAGTAGTGGTAGTGGAAGTCAAATTTGAACCTTTCTATATGGATTTCAGAGAGATCAGTCATTATTTGCTGATATATTATTATAACTTGTTTAATCAAAAGCTACTATATATTCATTTATGATATTAAAAATTGATATAATTTTATCTATAAAGTGAGAATAATTTCAAAAAAATATTCATAACATAAAATGATTCATGCATGCATGCTGGTGATTGAATAAACCATGAAGTGTGCATTCTGAATCTCTACAAGTTCCTTGACATTATTTTTCCAGTACAGTGTAAAACTATATATATATAAATGTGACACAGGTTGCAGGTATTAGGTTGCATGTCCACCAGTGTGCTGAAATACCATCCAGTGACCCGGTCTTGTTCATTGTTACTTGCATCTTGCTTAATTCAACTGTTTTTGCCCCATTTCTTGTAACCATAAAGTTCTTTTCAATAATCTAGAAAACTTCAAAATCATTCAGTAAATTTAATTTTAAAATTGGGTGAAAGGTAAGGGGTCAATAATAGATGAAGAAATAATTTCTTATTGTTCATACATATGGCCCCCATCTCTGTCAGGTATTAGAGTAGAAATTTATTGAAGCCTGAAGTCAGAAAATAAATATGGCAACAAGGTTACACGCCATACTGCAGAGTTAGGCAATTTTTTTAAAGATCTCAAGGATAGATTGTACGGGCAAGGGAACAAAATAATGAAATTTTGAGATTCGGGGACAGGTTTTAATTACAATGGGGTGCTAAAACTCAGTTTTCCCTAAAAAATCCCTGACCAGCTGGAGTGCTGAAACTGATGTTTGACTATTGAAATATCCTAGCAGGTTAGGTTCATCAGATTTTAGCTTTGTCAACCTGGCCACTCTGTTTATATTACAGTATTAAATGGCTCATTTAAATAATTTCAGGTCATTACTGTAAATGTAAATGTAAAGTATTTGAAGTTAATACTGCTGTAAAATGTAGTTTAATAATACTGTATTAAAGTGTAAACACGTTTCTCACAGCGATAAATCAATATTGTAAATAATCATGTGAGAGTAGAACTTTACTGAGAGTCCGAGTATAGTATTATAGGCCATAGGCATAGTCTGGCCATGTGTTTCTCAAAATTCAGCTAACTATATTAACATACTGTATAAAATATATTACAGTAAATAGCCTTCGAAGTATATATTTCATAGAGCTAGACAGTGTAACAAATAATGGGAATCTGCTAAATAATTTGTAACAATGAAATACTTCTAAACATTTTCAAATTCATATATACTGTACCTTTTCATACTTGATGGAAATCATCACAAATAGATTGGCTCCATTTTCACAGCTTCGAAATTCGAAACATCGCCTCCTCGGCGATTTACATGATGCGATATAAAAGAAGATTGATGTACATTCGACGTATATATAACGTAAAATATTAAGAAGAAAGATTACAACAAAAAATAAAAGAATATAAATAATCCGCGGCAATTCAAGTTCCATTCGTGAACTTTTCGTCGCCCCCCTGTCTTTATTTCCACAAAGCCCGCTCGCAGGCTAATACTCCAAGAATCTTGGAGTATTTGCCTGACACGTGACCAGCGTTTACCAGGGCTATGTCGCCGCCTTCAATTCGCGACTAGCCCTGGGTACGAGGTTGCATCCCAAGTGCATGGATCACGCTATCCTGCTTGGTAAACCATTTGGTAATTGTTTTTATAAAATAACTACAGTAAAACAATGACATTTTAAGAATCCCGCGAAGGCATTTTAATTCCTCGTGCATGCAGGATAGCATGATATATAACCCAGACCTTGCGATTTCAAAAAGATAGTCAAAATAGATAAAGATTGAAATACAACATCTACTAAATCTACAGAAATACATATTATTATTATTATTATCTACTAAATCTGACCACAAAGAGTGTAAAAATAGGTACGCAGTGCGTATATGTTGCATGCCATCTGAAACTTATGATACGCTATAGCGCTTATAACCTTTAATTGGTACAACTTGAAATATTGATTCAATAAGCTTAATATCAATATATTTATTGAAAAATAGCTATTATGTCAAAATAAGAAAACTTAAGATTCGCACGTGAATTAGCCTACGGTGTAGACCCCAGCAGAAACACGCGAATAGGCAATGTTTTTATAAGCGACCGTTCATAGTTAGTTGCAAGCGACGGTAATAATAACATTAACAAGGTCAAGGTGGGTAAGGTTTTATCGAAAGCGATTGACTGTTAGATTTCCTTTACAAATTTATAACTAAATAACGTTATTTCATATAGATTTAGCTTTACTGTAAATTTCTAAAGGTATAAAGGTATAAAAAACCCGTGGAAACGGTGAATTACTATTATAGATTGAAAATTATTATTTATCATTTTGACGTTTGAGTGATTGAAATGAGTTAATTTACACTGCATCGAATGTCATGTTGAATGTCATGTTGAATCTTATGCGTACTTCACAATGGTTGCTACTTCGTTGTATTAAATTTCAATAGTATTTATACTATTTATAATTCAAATTTTGTTTGATATTTATATTTCATGTTATTTACAAAATGTGCTGTAGTTTTGAAGCTTTGCACACAATATAATCAGTGCGAGCACAATGGCTCCGTTTCAGTTTGAGTATATATAAATCGAGTATTTTGATAGCGTTGGGCTTGATATATATAAAATATAAACGCCTGATAATTGATATAAAAATATTATAATCAGTGCGAGCACAACGACTCCAAAATCACAACAAATAACAGAATATAAGGTAAGTTAAAAACAGTAAAGCTTTACCTACCTCGATTTAATTTTTCTAAGGCGCTCAATTATGTAAATTTTCGGCGAATAATCAATATTTCTTAATACGTTTCCTCGACAAAAACCGGCATGAAAATGCTCGACGGAAAAACTCGGTATTTCTCGTATTTTACGAATCTGCCACGTGACTGGTACGCTCACCGCGACGACACGAAATTTAGAGCTATATGAAAGTTGCATGTCATATATGGCATGCAATATATACTGGAAAAATCCCAACGTCTGACAAGCATGCATAATGCTATTCATTTACCAACAGTTGGTTCATAAAACACCAGAACTAAAAGCTCGCTGTAACATTCCAATGGATACATACCCATCATCGTTTACATCAACGGCGCAAACAGACGCTCCAAAATATATGTATTCTCGTTGCTAAAACAGAGACAATATCCATTAAATATGGTTCTCAGCCAGTAATGTATTTGCGTGTTTCTTGTTTGTTTGTTTGTTTGTTTGTTTGTTTGTTTGTACAGATATTGTTTGTATCAGGATTTTGGATCTTACTCGATATAACTAATGTTGAAGGGTTTTGTAGAAGGAAATCTCAATCTTTATACATTTATTGGACCTAACCTGCGGCCCTGCGATTCCGGTGCAGTGCTCTAACCAACTGAGCTACAGAGTCCAGTTGTCGAGCTCTAACCACAAGTTCATATATATATATATATATATATATATATATATATATATATATATATATATATATATATACTAAGGTGATGTCAATGTAAGGTATTTACCCATACACCTATGATTGTTTGCATGTTTGTTTGTTCGTTCGTTTGCGCATGCGTCTGTCGGTTGTGTTTGCGAGCTTATTTGTGTGTAAGGAGGGCAACTCAAATTCAACAGTTGAAAAATATATCAATTACTGTATAAATTGATTTCATTTTCGTTGAAATTGGATTAAATAATTTAAATTGGATAAGAAAGCTTGTCTCTCTTTTCTTAGCCTGAGTGTCAGACGAATATTCGTTATTCGTCTGACACTCAGGCTACTCTTTTCTGCACTTTGTAAAATAGTTAAATATATAATGAATGAATAATTTATGCATGACCATTTGACCTTCTGTGTAGGAATACAAAGCCGATAAACTATACAATATTATACTTAAAATGAGGTAAAAAAGCCCAAAAAGGCGAAGTTTACATACCAGTTTAACTCTATCCGGTGGATTAATGCTCTCTATATATGTGAGATCTGCGGAGTAAATATTCACCTAGGAATAAAAAATATGAGATATATAAATAGACATGCAAAATGCATTGGAAGATCTGTCCTGAGATAGACAAAACAAGACAAAAACAGCGATTATTGAAGTAACCGAGATTTCTGCTGTCTGCAGGAAGGAAGATAGATCATTAAGGCCAACAAAAATTATTCCAGAGAGTAAATTTGAATATACTTTTACTACCAATTTGTAGTAACTGCCACTGTGCAGAAGCTGCTACACTCAAAGACTCTCATTTGAGCTGCTTCATATTTTGATGAGAGCTTTTGCTCTTTTGAACGGTAAGGGACCGGTCATAAAGTAACTGCTAGGGTGGGCTGGAGTGATTTGGGATGGGCCATGGAAAATCTTTGGGCAGTTGCGATGGGCCGCCAATTTTTTTGTATGTCCACGGTTGGGCCACCAAACAAAAACCCATGCATGTCTACTTCATAAAGATAATAATAATAAAGGTAAACGTCAAAACTATCCAAATTATCAAATGCAAATGATGCTATTGAAGCCAGTACTTTGTTTATACAACAACAAGAAGTGGTCGATCGAATCACAGCAAATACAACCAACTGGAGAGCAGCTCAGTATCAATGGGTTAGTCAAGCTGGTGGAATTATGTGCGTCAGTACAGTGCCGTGTATATTTACAATGTTCATACCTGCAAGTTTTTTTTTATTATAAATTGTATTTTCCCAATTTAGATTGGGTGGGTCATGAAATTTTTTTTGTAAGATTAGATGGGCTTTGAAATTTTTATCTACATCCTAAGATGGGTAACCAAACTTATTGGCAAAATTTGTGATTTACCTCCAGCCCACCCTAGCAGTTACTTTATAACCAGTCCCTAATATCCAGTCAACTCTCACTAACTCTCTAGAGTTGAAAAAACTCTCTTTTACACACTCTCACTAACTCTCTGGAGTGGAAAAAACTCTCTTGCACCCTCTCACTAGTCAACTCTCAGTACTCTCTGGAGTTGTAAAAACTCTCTTGCACACTCTCACCAGTCAACTCTCACTAACTCTCTGGAGTTGAAACAATTCTCTTGCACACTCTCACTAGTCAACTCCCACTAACGCTCTGGAGTTGAAAAAATTATCTTGCACACTCTCATTAGTCAACTCTCGCTAACTCTCTGGAGTTGAAAAACTCTTTTGCACACTCTCACTAGTCAACTCTCACTAACTCTCTAGAGTTGAAAAAACTCTCTTGCACACTCTCACTAGTCAACTCTCACTTTAAAATGCATACCTTTCCAGAAAATTCAATTCTTGGTATGCTGGCAGCAATGGCTTTATAAAATAAACACAAAAAAACATGAATGATTTATGAGATTCATTATTTGCAAAGGAAGGTGGTAAGCTTAATCACTTGTCACATGACAAAACGCAGGCAAAAGAAAAACGTTTTAACACAACATTCGATAAGAGAAAAAACCTGTTTGTAATGTACCGAGATTTCTTTGATATTAGGAGAATTAATTAATCATGGTTTGCATTTCTCGGAACATTTGTAACGAGTGCAACCTAGTATATAGTGATGTACAGATATACATATTCAGCGTATCGGATATCTGCCCAATTAAAGTTCAAAATATCGGTATTTTTGTTGCCGATATTATCAGTATTGTATTATAACAAATGTATACAATATATTTTAAATTTAAAGTGTATTTTGGATTCCATGCAATTTGGTTGTTACACAACTCGGTGACCCGAATGTATTTATATAAATTCAACATATATCCGCATATATACCGGTAATACATGATAAGTAATACATGATTGGCCACTCTCACTCATAGCAGTGCATGTTTTAAACGTTTTAAGGTGGGGGAACAAAACCAAGTTTAGGACCCACTGTGCACTCCCCAAAGTAGGTCACTCAGGATAAGGTTAGGCCCCCTATCTCAGCCACTATACAAGTAACGGGGCCAAATGGCCCCACAGTATATATGTTAGAATATGTCTTGACTCATAGTTATAATGAAGTTTCTAGAGTTAAGTCCAATTGTCACTTGCGAATTTCGAAATAAAATAGAATATCGGCCCCTGAATATTGGTTATCAGAATATCGGTAAATTTCCATATCGGTACATTACTACCACCTAGTTCGCACCCCAGATGTTCCGCGAAGTGCCTGGCGCTGGTTTTAGTGTTTGATGGCAGACAATGGCACTATATAAACGTAGAACAATCAGAGCAAGACTTACAACGAGAATCATAGAGGAGATTAATACAACACTGACAAGTCAGTAGAAACACAATAATAAACAGTATTAACGACATTGCTTTCACTGCATATACTGTCTATAATAGCTTGCATATACTGTCTATAATAACTTATGTATAGTGTCAAACGAAAAAAGAACTTGACCAATATCCTCAGACCTCTCGCTCAGTCAATAACATATTTGGTAGAATGGGGGAAACTACGTCCATACCGTCTACTGACTTCTGATAAAATCTTCCATAGGTAACTGCGTATCCTAGAGTAAAAGGCAAGTTAATTTTGGTCCACAGTACACGGCCACAAGTTTCAGTAAAAATGGTATCAATTAAGTATAGAATTATAACAAATCTATACAAACCAAGATAAAATCCATCACTAGATTGATCAGAAGATGCCACGAAAAATCTTTCGGACAACACTGTACCCGCAGAGTCCTTTTGCTGGTAAACCGTACCTATTAATTACACAATACTATCACATTGAGCGAACAAATGAACTAATTATTTATGGTCAAGGTGACTATTACGCTGCTTCGGTGTTGTTCAGCACTCTGTGAAGTGGGCGTCCATTTGCAATAATGCAAAGCTCACTTCGGCTTGCCACCAACCTATATGAACGGGCTTTGATGATTGGTTGATCACTATTGTTTTATGAAGCCAATCACAAAACACGATCATTTTAGGTTTTAGGGTGATATGTACTCCTTTCTTGCCTTGTTGTCGTTTGAGTAACCACGTAACATTCTGATAACCATTGAGCTATAATTAAGGCTACAGATGGTGAGCCAAGGTTACGTTATGTACTTGTTCTGTGTGTTATATATATGTGTACTGCTAACTGCAAGTATCGACATGTCTTGTTGATATATAGATATATATATATATATAGATATATATATATATAGATATAT